TTTTGCACTGTCCATTTGTTCCCATTGAGCCTTCACCACATCGGCTTTATCATATACAGTAGCTCACCGCCCAGAGAAGCGGCAGCAGCCAATCTATAAGCCTGCTCGTTTCCTTGCACACCTGACAGAAAATCCATGGCATGCTCTTGGTCTGGATTTTGTTAGGTGGTGCAAGCTGCTCTGTCTGTACTTATAGATACACCCACACCAGATATCTCCTTCCTGTTTATGTTCCAGATTTGAGACAAGCGAAAGAAACTTCGCCGTTTCCCCATAATACACCCCATCCTTCGACATTTTAAGTACACGAGTTATATTTATAGCAATAGCATCATTGACTTTCCCCACAAGTGCTGCTATGTTTAACACGAAATTTCATTGGTTGTTCTGGCACGTTCCAAAGTGCGACCAATCGCAGCGTGCTATTTTATAATGCGAACTCTTACTTTCAGTTTTCTTTCTCGGGAAACATCTTGCTCGTTTGGACTGCCGTTTTTGTTTGCGTGGGCTTTTTGAAACTTTCGGTTAATTTAAAAGCATGTTTGAACAAATGGGAAACTGTAGATAATAATCAGCGTTCCAGTTGTTCCGAAAGGAAAAGATGGGGGGGGGGGGGGGGGGGGGGGTTAGCTTCAATCGGCCTGGGCGTTGTTTAAGTACTTAATAATAACCAAAATGGTTAATTGAATATGCTAAATTGAATGTAATTTTATTTATATCAAACAATATATATGTATCAAAAAAAAAAAAAAAAAAAACCTAACAAAAACTAATATAAATGTTTGCAGGTGTGGGGAGGGGATCTTAGCCCCGTTGCGATTTGTCTGTTTTGGGCATGTTGTTCTCCCTCTTCTTTCGTTAAGCTTTCTAGTCACAGGTCACTGGATAATTCCTTATTTATATTTAAACAGCGTTCTCCTGCGTTTGTTACAAGTGTATGATGAGATCCACAAGCTATTTATATGTAACATATCTGCTTCTATGTTTAATACTAATGTATCTAGTCTGACTTGTTGCATTGCATAATCCAGCCATCCCTTTGTGGGATGCAATTTTTCGTTAGTTGAAGCCCTACTTTGGCTCTTGCCAGGGGCCGCAATCTAGCCCGGCCATAAATATGTCTAATGACTGAAAGCGGTTTCTGGGACCTCTCCACGGGTGATCCTCATCTACATGGTGGCACTTTGTGTCATCGGTTGTTTATCGCTTATGTGATGTCCTAGTGGCGTAAAAAAAAAGATAGAGATATATAGATTGTTGCATTGCTGTAGGCTCTTCTGCTTTTTCTGTTTAAGAAATGGCTGGGGGTATTTTTTTTAAACAGGGCTATATTATCTACGTTTGTCTGCAAGCACATTTAACAAACTCCCTATAAAAAAGACGCCTTTACAAAATCTCTGTTAGGAACAATGGGTCGTCTCTCCCTCTCTACCTCTCTTTATATTAATCTCTTGCTCCCTCTTTCTCTCTCTCCTCTCCTCCACCCCACCCCACCCTCCACCCCCGCAAGGAACCACAGGAATTTGAGTTTCATTTTCTTCTTCGTGTTTATTGGCTGTAAACTCCGGGGAAAGTTCTGGTGCTTCGTCCACCTCTAGACTTTAGTAATATCCCAGAACTTGACTGTTGCGTGCACACCCGTTTTATACATCTGGCTTAATTTTATGCCGACTGTCCGTTCCTTTCCTCTCAGGTAGATGCACACCGACTTTACAGTAAACCCACATTTAGTCAACTCTTACTAAATGCTTGTTAGGGAAGCAGTGGGACTATTCTTGTTTTCCCCACAGTGGGTCCCAAAATCCTTAGGGGGGAAATTGGTTAAATTCGCGTTTAAAAGCTCTTATTTCGATTAAGGAACGATGATACCAGGAGGAGAATCGGCACAGAGACAGTAGTAAACTTCATAGGTAGACAACAAATCAAATAGTTTGGTTATGTACCGAGATTGGGATCAGACAGAGATCAATGCTATATAGATACAACGGTAACATATCAAGAGGTCGACCACGCAGAAAATGGACCGCAGAAATATCAGAGACACTGAAAAGTACTTCATACGAAGCGAACAGAAGGGCCCGTTCCAGAGATCTCTTCCTGTTCTGACGTAGAGAAGCATTCCAGGAGTAGAGGAGGAGGAGAAAGAGGAAGAAGAAGAAGAAAATGAAGAAGACTTTCATCACTGTCTTCAAATCCAAATTATCTCTTGCCCACCCCTGAACTGCACTCGGCTGGAAAAATGCATCCATCTTTCACAAAAATGTAGTTTCCGTTTCTTTTCATGTTTCACTTTTTATCATCCCAAACGAACTCTTTCATATCCACTGTTTCATACATTTCTCCCAATCCTGTTTGTTACGTCAGACTCAAAGTACACACGCGCTTAACAATAAAATGGTCTTTCCAGAAGTTGAAAAGAATAATTTGTCATGTTCTTTGAAGATCTGAAGAGGACACGAACCAAAGTTTCCAATATACCTCCGCCTACATTGTAGCAAAGCTATCCCACACCAGGACAATCTCGTGTAGGCGGACACGTTTTCCTCCAGTGGCAATTTCCACTCGTTTGTAGCCACTTGACTTCTGGAGGTGTTGAGTTGTCGTGCGCGCGTCCTGAGTTCAAATGTTTAAATACCAGCGCTCATTCACATGTGCTCACATTTTTCTACACGATGTTTGTGCAGTTCTAAGGCCCTACGCAATATTTCTGTGTTAATTTACATTCCAGAAACATTTTGCTTGATGCCAATTTTTTTTTTCTTTTCGCATACAAACACTGTACTAATAATTTTTTGGCATTGTTCAGTAAAGATAGTTTTTTCACTGGAAATCTATACTTCGTTTTTCCGCTTACAGAAAATGTACTAATAATTGTGTGGGACTTATAAAGCGAAAAATAATTTTTCGTTTATTCTTCAACACAGTTTAAAAATTTGAACATAATTTCCACAAGTGTTAAATCCGTATGGGACAATTCTTTTGGTTATAAATACGACAAGGAAGTTTACTTTTGTTTTTCTACAAAATTTCGTTTGTGAAGAATAAACGAAAACTACTGGAATGGGTTTAGAGGTGAGTTTATATTTCTTTCAGTGAATTTCCTCTGTTTTTTTTTTTTTCTTTTTGCTTGATCTGCGTTTCTAGTTGGTTTTTGTGTTGGAGTGGGATGTCTGAATGATCTAGATCGTCGCTCTTCGGCTTTCTTTTTTTTTTTTTTTAAATCCTTGTGGATAGGGCAAATTAGAGAAATATTTGAATGAAAAGCTGATGGTTAAAATATTTTTTTAAAAATGTGGATAGCATTTTATTGATTGAATTCAATGTTATCACATAGCGATTTGTATCACATTTTATGTGATGTGATGTCTGCTGCTGCTGCCTATAAGTTAAAAAATCTGAAATTCTGCTAGAGCGTTGTTTCTGAGAGATGAAGCGATGCAATAATGCCGTTTAGATCTGTTTCTCCGTGTCTCTGATGCTATATTTGGGATGGGGGAGAGAGAGAGAGAGAGAGAGAGAGAGAGAGAGAGAGAGAGAGAGGGAGAGAGAGAATAAACACACTGCGATAAGCATGTCGTAAAATGTGTGATTCCTTCGGAGTCGGAGTACATCTGCCTGGGAGACAATAAACCAGCAAATATATCAGACCCATAAATTGGATGTGCACGTAAAACTGATGTTTTGGAACACAACCAAGTCCAGAAATGGACGAACAACCAAAACTTTCCGCCGGATTTTACCGCCGGTGAGGGCTAAGGAAGTAAGGACGATTTCTAATTTGGTTTTTAATTACTCACACGGCCGAGAAAGGTATTTTCACACACACAAAAAAGTCAAAAAATCATTCAACACCTTCATAGATTTATAACTTAAAGGGGGATAATCAGTAGATGTCAGCAATGTGGTGTCCAAAAGACGAGGCCGCTGCATTACTGGCGTAGGGTTGTGTGTATGAGTAATTGAGTGTGTGAGTGTTTGCGCGCGCACCGTGTGCGTGTGGTGCGAGCGTCTGTATTACACGTGCGTGCGTGTGTGGACGTTTGTGTGTTTATGGACACCTGGTTGATTTCTGAAGACGCCCGAGGATTCCAGGAAGAAGAACAGCAAAAACATGATACATGTGAAAACTGTAAGATGAGAATTATATAATGAGGTAAACAAAGCAGGGAGGACATGAGGTCAACTGCGGGTGATGATATCAGATGACAACATGGCGGCAATTGTTTGAAGACCTATGCTCTATTTGCGGATAAGAAGAAGAAGAAGAAGAAAAAAAAGAAGAAGAAGAAGAAGAAGAAGAAGAAGAAGAAGAAGAAGAAGAAGAAGAAGAAGAAGAAAAAGAAGAAGAAATAGAAATAGAAAAAGAAGAAAGAAGAAGAAGAAGAAGAAGAAATAGAAAAAGAAGAAAGAAGAAGAAGAAGAAGAAATAGAAAAAGAAGAAGAAGAAGAAGAAAAAGAAGAAGAAGAAGAAGAAGAAGAAGAAGAAGAAGAAGAAGAAGAAGAAGAAGAAAAGGAAGACGAAATAGAAAAAAGAAGAAGAAATATAAAAAGAAGAAAAAGACGAAGAAGAAAAGAGAAAGAAGAAAAAGAAGAAAAAGAGAAAGAAGAAGAAGAAGAAGAAGAGGAAGAAGAAGAAGAAGAAGAAGAAGAAGAAGAAGAAGAAGAAGAAGAAGAAGAAGAAGAAGAAGGAGAAGAAGAAGAAGAAGAAGGAAAAGAAGAAGAAGACGGCGACGACAAAGAAAGAATGAAAGAAAGAAAGAAAGAAAAAAAAAAGAAAGAAAGAATTAATAAATGAATGAAAAATACTGACTCTGATGTACATACATTAGGGGAAAAAACTATTAGGTTAAAAACCGCCTAAAACAGAAAGACCGAGTTACACTTACCTTGGGTAACAAGTGTTAACATTTGTACCTTTGGAGTTAACATTGGTATCTTTGTGTGCTTATTTTCTGACCAAAAGATCTTATCATTGTTTTCTTCTGCGTTTATTCAAACAGAAGCGTCCGAGTGCCGACCCACAAATGCTGAGTCTCTCTCAGATGTTTGGCTCCGGCACTGGTTATGTTGGCACCGACAACAACAACCACACGGAGCCTCATCGAAACAAGGATGTAAGTCTGTCTGTATCATCTTCTCCGTCCTCTCATAGTCACACCATCGCCGCCCTTAAGTCTGTCTGTATCATCTTCTCCATCGTCTCATATTCACATCATCGCCGCCTTTAAGTCTGTCTGTATCATCTTCTCCATCGTCTCATATTCACATCATCGCCGCCTTTAAGTCTGTCTGTATCATCTTCTCCATCGTCTCATATTCACATCATCGCCGCCTTTAAGTCTGTCTGTATCATCTTCTCCATCGTCTCATATTCACATCATCGCCGCCTTTAAGTCTGTCTGTATCATCTTCTCCATCGTCTCATATTCACATCATCGCCGCCTTTAAGTCTGTCTGTATCATTTTCTCCAGCGCCTCGTCGTTATATAATTGCCGCCCTTCTCCTCGTCAACCCAACATTGACATCAATATCACCGTGTGGGTTCTGGGGCCCCAGTTAGAGACCCCCTCCCCACCCCTGTAAAATAAATGGACCCACTGCCCCTAACTGAATGTCGTACTAATCGACCAATGAGGGGTGTTTCCTTCAAAGTCGGAGTGCTTCTGCGTGAGAGGTTAAGAACCAGCAGTCTGCATACAAGTAAGTCACATCTGTAAAATGGATGTGCAGGGAAATCTCAAGTTCCGGAACAAGACCAAAGTTCAGAAGTGGGCGAAAAGCCACAAATTTACAGCTGGTGAAGGAGAAGAAAAAGAAGAAGAAGAAGAAAAAGAAGAAGAATAAGAAGATGACTTGTTGACAATGATTAAGAAAAAAACAGAAGAATGCAGACCGACGCCACATTCCCAAACGTGGGTGTAACCACGTGAAAGCAGAGATGATATCTCTACTGTTACTGCCCATCTCTTGTTATTTGTTCCTGTCGATAAAACATATTTACGTCCGCTAACTGTTTTTATGACATCCAGCCTACACTGAGACGACATTGTTGTGCATAAGAAACGACCACTCTGTGAATTGTAGACCTTGCACTGGCCAGGGATTCTCAACTTTGTTTTTGTAGCATGGGTCCCTACCTGTGTATATTTATTTGTTGCAGCAGTGATACTTTACCAGTGCAGTGTTGAATCTGTTTCACGTGAACACAACGTATGTGTAGGCGTTAATTGTATAACCAGCTGATGGTTAAAAAGAAAAAAAAAACATAACTAATGTAGGCAGTATTTAATTCAAAAGAATGTTATGATATTACAATTTCTAGCTAATGTAACACCTACTGCTGTTACTTAGAAGTTGGTTTCAGACTGGAACATCGGATTTCAGCAAACGCTTAATTAGTCGGGGCTGCGTCCGTGGCTTAGGCTTTGGGAGTTAGACTCGTAATTCCAACGTAACGCGATCGAAATCCACTGCTGGCTGCGTAGATTTTTATCATGGTATGGGACGTCGCAGGTCGACCCAGCCTAAAATGAGTACCAGGATGTATGTCCTGGGAAAGTAAAGACGGCCGGTGCTGACCACATTACCCACCTTGTGCCGATTTGTCTGTAAAAATAAGGGTGCTCTTCCCATGTGCCCGATGCACCTAAGGTGTAAAAATATATCTTCACTTTACTTTACTTAATTAGTCGTCTTTCACGACATGCTTTTATCGTTAGGTCTGTTCTTGTCCTCCCTGAAAAAGGGCCTCAGAACCCACATGGGAAGTTCATAATTCTTTTGTAGTTGGGGCTGGCTGTTGTTGATGTTCTAAGGTGGTCATATTCCTGGTGTTGAGAACCACTGAAGGCAGCAGTTGCCCGCCATTTGTCGGCGAGACAGGATATACGTTCTGCCATGTGGCTCCAGCTCGTCCAAGGTTGTTTATTTGCGGCGCTAACTGCAACAGTCAATACATTGTCACTTGTGTGTGAGTGCTGTTTGGTTGTGATTGTTATTTGTGTGAGTGCTGTTTGGTTGTGATTGTTATTTGTGTGTGTGTGTGTGCATTGTTTGTCCGTCCTTGCCCATTTTCTGGGTACTGAGCATGACGTAGTTAGCCAATAAACAGGTGCGTGTGTATGTTAGTGTGTTGTCTGTCAGTCTGTCTGTCCACCCCTTGGTCTTACGTATGCACGGTCTGCTGAACTGTACTTTTGTCTGTCTGTCTGTCTGTCTGTCTGTCTGTCTGTCTGTCTGTCTGTCTGTCTGTCTGTCTGTCTGTCTGTCTGTCTGTCTGTCTGTCTGTCTGTCTGTCTGTCTGTCTGTCTGTCTGTCTGTCTGTCCGTCCAATTCATCTATCTATCTATCTATCTATCTATCTATCTATCTATCTATCTATCTATCTATCTATCTATCTATCTATCTATCTATCTATCTATCTATCTATCTATCTATCTATCTATCTATCTATCTATCTATCTATCTATCTATCTATCTATCTATCTATCTATCTATCT